ATAATCAGAGAGCTGAACAGTCCCGAACGCCATCGGAAGTTGATGGGCTATGGGCTAAGGGAATCGCTAATTGGTTGTTATGTCTACGAGGGACGAAATGGTCTGAAAAAGTTGCTTGGTCTTTTTTTTTTTGCTTTCTTCCTTTTTTTAAAAGATGACATGCCAAAAGTGTTGGGTACGATTGCGAGTTTTTTGATGGATTGAGTTTCTATGATTTTGTCTTTCCATGTGGGTGCGTTGATCGCTGCTTCCTCACCTTGTGTTCGGTCACGTGCCTCCTCGTCCCCGGTAGTGTAACGAGTTTAATTGGGTGATAGTTTGCTGTTCCTCTGAATTGGGGGAAAACTCGATGACTTCTCCTTGATTACTAGAGAGAGCTGAGTAAGTTATTCCCTATTGAAGCAAAACAGCCAGGCTTCATTGCAAACGCACGCCCTTGATTGATGAATGGGAAAAAGGGTAAATTTAAGGAAGATTGCTTACCTTCTAGTCAACTACATACTCGATGGAGACCAGTGAAACCTTTGTCTGTGTGTGCTCTTGACTAAAGGAGCAGATGAGGGGCATGATTCTGATCAACCCTGCTCGATGATATGATTGGGCCTGTTTAAAAGTCAGGGTTATTTACAGCCTAATTGTCAGGATCGGACAGGGTTGAGCGCCTTTTCCCGAAAGAAAGGCAGTTCTCTTTTTGTTGTTTCAGTCTGATTACCTCAAATATAGAAAAGTAGAACGATGTATATGTGAGCCTATGCGTGCCTAAACATACAATTCTTAATCCCAGGTCATTGAAGGCACGCGCTATTAGTTCCTCTTAAGGATTATCTACGGGGACACGAGTCTGCCATACAAATTTACGGAGCGGGCGAGCCAATCATCCCTGGTCTTTAACTTTAGCCAGGCTTACTAGCTCTAGAAAGAAGTGTAGGAATTACTGATGACCCCGTGAGCAGGGCTAACCAGGGTGCTGTCCAGACACGCTGCGCTGTGATCAGGCAAATTCGGTTGGCCATCATATTCAGTACACCGCATAAGGGCACGTGGTCTTCCACGCTGGCGGTTTAAAGCAGAGATGCCTTGCCGTCACAACGGTGCTATGGTTGGGGCTGCCATTTGCTGTAGTAGCAGGCTATCGCTATTTATTACGGGCCTTGGCCAATCATAGTGTGCTTTCTGCTACCAAAGACTAGTTGACTATCCCTGGTGGAAAAATTGAATAATTGTTTGGACACCATGGTCAAACGCCTTCGACATGTTTCTCAAGCTCTCTATCTGGGGCTGTAGTTGAGAACTTCTGCGAAAACAGGGGAAACATGGGGGGTGAGAATGCCTTATTGATGTCCCACGCACTTTACCAAGATAAGGTGAAAGCTTGGGATGAGGAAGCATTCAAAAGTTTCCGATACCATATAAGGTTGATGAGAGAACATGCACTGAAAATAGTGAAAACTCAGAAAAGCATCGAGTACGTCATATACTTCTACGGACCTGACGGAAAACTGCACAGTACTTACTCATCCCTGGAGATGACTGAACAGGCCAGGATGGAGTCTGAAAGAGTGTAGGAGTGCTCAGACCCTCTTCGCAAGCACACGTGGTCAGTAAGCAACGATCGGTTGCCTTCATCCCCTCACTTAGTGTTGTACTATCAGGGGAACAGTTCGGTGTTGTGCTATCACGTAGGCAGAGCTCTCAACATAAGACACCGAAATTGACTCCGACATTTATGCTTGCACACAAGTATGGATCAGACATTCGGATCATCCGAAAGCTTCAACCAAGATCTATCAGAATTCAATCAAATTTCAAATAGCAGTCTGCAGCATTTGGCCAACAATCGGTAATCCGTCATCTTTGCAACACCCAAATCCTAGTCCGAACTGGATGAGCACTGGTTGTTGTCGTCCGACGCAGGGATCAACATTAATCAGACTGAACATCTATCAAAAGACTCATCATTTTAAGCACCCAGTCATTCATACCTTCGCCAAGGATCAATATCAACTTGCAATCAATCATCACCAAAAGACATAAGGATCAGTTCCAGCATCCGACACATCACATGAGTATAGTACAATCCTTTTCAGTCAGTGGATCGGTTCTGACTAACCTCAACCAGATAGCATCCAAAGATGCCTTTCGGTATAAATATATCAGTGCAGTTGGTTTCAGGCATGTGGACTTGACAATTTTTGTGGTTCAAACTGAGTTTGCAGCAGGTATCATCCTCGACTTGAGACCCTATGTGAAGAAAGGCAAGGAGATTCATGACCTCTTTGACTCGATTTGGGTCACAACAATCGGGTACCTTGCGGAGAGAGAAAGAGAGCTTGATGAGAGTGGTACCAAACTGATCCGTAGCTTCGGACCCAAGCTCTATTCTGACTATCACAAGCCTCCAGTACTCTTCATTCTCACTGACGGCTCTTGCTGGAGTGACTTGGTGGATCTGGCCAAGAGGTACATTTCCCCCACAGTGATCGACTACGAGTCAGTCACAGAGTCTTCGGAGTTTCAGGATCTAAGACGAGGGATTTTCTCTCGGCCATATCTCCCCACATTATGGGAGGAATTTTGTGCCATGGTTGACTTTCGTGTCATGAGCCTTGGATGGAAATGCTCGGAACTAGCAGACTACTGGTGGCTCTACGTCGAAAGACCACAACCTCAGGGAGTATGGAGACATGGCACAAAGCATAAGAGACATACAGCAAGATGAGAGATTGAGTGTGAGGATTCAGAGGGATGAGTGAGGACTCTTGACTGGTGCTGGCCATGCCCTCTACATGTGTACTTTCTGAGATTATTACGAGTTCTCATTCTTCCCTCATTTATCCTTGTCATTGCTCGAGTCTGTCAGCCTTGTTCCACTTGCATTGGTTTGCTTGATGATCATGCTTACTGATGGTCCTATCACAGTTCTCAAAATTAGTAAATTAGCAAAATTGATGCATGCATGACATATCAGAATTTACAATTATTTATTACATGATTCTTTTCTGTTCCGAATCAAAATAAAAGATTCCTAAGACCGGAGACCGGTGAAGACCGCAATTGAAGGGTCTCGCTCGAAGCCGGATGCACACAACAGGAAGGGATTTGCGTTATTTAATTTATTTTATTTATTACAAACAACTACAAAACCGTGCGTGACAACTTGTTGGCTTTTTGGTCGCCTGAAGAGACCCGACTAGAAAAAGTGCGACAATGGGCGCACTGCGGCTAAGCGAAATAGAAAGCTTCTCAACGAACTCCCTGGACTGCTTGAGTCTTGGAAAGTGCAATTGTTTGAGAACGCAACAGAGAATCGAGAACAAACGCCTTGCATAGATCTGCGAGACGACCCACCTTCAACGCAAGGGCTGAATTACATGCCCCAATGTCGAAGCTCTCTCGCTCGATGGCCCATCCCCACCCATCTCAAAGCACTAGGTGGGGGTGTCCCGGGACGAAGCGCCCCGCGCCCCTAGGATGACCACGATCAGGGCCGAGCCGTATGGGACCGACTCCTGTTCGAGGGAGAGGGTCAACAAGGCTCGAAAGTCTAACGGGGTGGGGCCCTATAACGGGCGCTGAACTGTTGCTTGTAACTCGCTATCTCCATACTTTCACTGCAAGTTTGGAGGCTGCCAGCAACTTCTGTGAACTTGAATTGTCGGCAGCCTTGGCCAAATTGACCAGAGAGAGAGAGAGAGAGAGAGAGAGAGAGAGAGAGAGAGAGAGAGAGAGAGAGAGAGAGAGAGAGAGAGAGAGAGAG